TTGGCTTTAGGTAAGCAGAGATAAGCAATCTGATTGGTTGATGCTTTGGGGCACGATAACTTTGGTTTTAATGAAGCGAGAGCCAAGAAACCGCGAATACAGATTCATTATATCATTACCTTCACTAAGTTCGATGGTGAGAATTTTCTGCTGAGGCTAAGCAGCGATACGCAATTTGATTGGTCAACACTTTGGAACATAACAACTCTGCTTTTAATTGAGGTAGAATGTTTAATCTTGATGTAGATATTCATTAGGCAAATGTCTTGACTGAGTTCAATGATTAACATTTCGAGCCGGAAGCTAAGCCGAGCTAATTAATTTCATTGTTCAATGCTTTGGGACAAGATAATATTGATTCTATCAGATAGAGAGTGGTGAAACTTAGTGTATAGTTTGATTGCGCAATAATTTAATTAATATGTGTCATCTATTTATTTTGGGATTTCGGCGGAGGACATCAGCTTCGCTGTTGGTTTGTTTTACCATCTATTTTGGAACTGTTATATGAAGAATGACCAGCTCTTTATTAAACTCTTAACTAATGCATATTTAACATTTACACGGTGACAACCAAGTCTTGAAACTGTATAACGAGTTTACAAACTGTATCAAGACTAAGATGGTATTAGACCTTGCACCATTCTTGCCACTTTCCAGAAATAAACTGAAAAGGTATTTCCCTCATAGAAACATTTTACATTAATATTTTCTAAATAGGTATCATTTTATTTGCACAACTCTAACTGTCACATTGTAGGAGGGGCGAACGTATGTCTATCGACGATCTTCACTGCATCACGTGATATTAGCATACTGAATTGCATATGCGGAGCTTAAACTAAACTGTTTCGATGAATTGTAGCAGTTAATGCTCGTATTTCATTTAGTCAACACGACAGCTAAGGATATGGATACGTCCTTATTGCTATATTTTATAGGTTTAACAGCATTATGGACAATAAACTCTTCTACTGCAGATGAACCAGGTAAGGTAGTAACATTTATCTTCGGAAACTGAGGAACGTTTCTTGGTCGACTATCCTACAACCACACCGTCAGTTATGTCCATCGGGGGTAAAACACACTGAACAGGTCCTAGATTTCTGAATTATCCAACATCTGCACCGAGACCGAGAAAAATATCTCGATTGTTAGACTGAACAACATAACGGACCAGTGCAAGTATTTGGGAATTATCCATTTCATTAATAATTAGTAATTCAATACCATAACTGTTAATGTAGTTGCGGTGTATTCAGTCCATACAGAACAATAGGACGTTAAACTCGTTTCATTTTATTTCATTTCGTTTGGTTCAGATTATGCTAGAATGCATTCGTTTCAGATCCGTGCATGGTTGCCTCGCCGTTTCCTCATCTCCAGAATAGATCAACCACGTACAACGACACGTTTAATATTAACGATAGATTCATAATTCCTGGATGGTATGGAGTGCGTGATTTATCAATACCCCACACACCTCCCGAATACAAGCATTGTGGTACAAAATATCCCATATATTTAACAGGTAAGTTTTAATATACCTATAAAAAATTCCATGTGAGACAATTTAGATCCGAAAATGGCATATATTAGCCTTTAATTAACAAGCTAACACTGGTTACTCATTACACTATTATTGCTGGCATTTATCATTGATCTATCTGATGAATAAATCGGCGCTTATTGGGTATTTTCAAAACAAAATGGCTTCGTTTGGGTCTATTAATACCGAACGCGAATCGATGGCGTACAATGTATTTAAAAACAAACGGTTAGCATGCAACTAGATACGGCCAAAGTTTGCGAAAGATGGACGGAGAACAGGGTATTCAATAGTGTTCACCCGTTCCATGTCCCAATGTTTTAAATCGTATTTTAAAAAAAAATCAGTGAAATAGTTACATTTAGTATGGCATACACATGCTGACACATTTTTTAATTTTTATATAAACCCGACAAAATTGGTCGCCCCACTAACTTTGTACATATTTCACATTTTGCGTAGAAGGCAGCGGGCAAAAATCCGTCACGGAAGATGCGATGCGCACCAAAGGTCCACAATCTTGTTATGCGTTTACACTATTTGTATAAAAGGGGGCTACCAGTTTGACGGAAAGTGGGGTCAGATTTTCATGAATTCGCACTCAGAGGCACTTATGCTGTAACCGTGATATATAGTCTGGAGGCTCAGCGCGCGGGGGGGGGGGGGGGGTCCATCAAATGGGCACAAAACTAGACCCAACTTTTCTAGAGGAAAACTTTGCGTAGAATACGATGCCGAGTGGTAATCAATCCGCCGTTGGCGCGTTTTCGAGATATTCGGGGTCAAAGGTCAAATGAGTTCATTTGCACTGAAAGTGAATGCGTGGTCATTCTTGTATCATGAAGATAAGCTGAAAATGATCGAAAGTAATGACACTTTTCAATAAAAATGTAAACTTGCTAAATTCACCTTTGTTCTTTGTGACCCCAGAGGTCAAAAGGTAAAATTTTCCGTTTTAGCACTAGGAAGTTTTAAAGTAATAAATGTCGGCGTAAAATATAAAAACTAAAGCGAAACCAGTTCTAATAAATAATAGGAACATTTAAAATTTATCTTTAGGTGATCTTAGCACCAAACTTTTACTTTGGAACGTCGAAAATGATCCTGCATAACAGAACCAAAACGCTTCGGAGCCTGTTTCAAAAAAACGTAAAAACTGTTAAATCAAAATCTCTCCGAATTAGTTTTACAACGAATGCTATACATAATGATACTAGTTGTCTGAAAAAAAACCAATTAAATAGTTCCATGGCTGGACTCCAGCCTGCAGGCCGCGTCACAAAGCCTGCCAATTTTTCCCCGCTAACATTTACGAATACGACATATATATCCTGTGAACTACTATGTACAATGCATTCGTCGATTTTATCTGCGTCCATGTTCCGGCGAAATTCAAAAAAAATCTTAAAAAGTTTGCAAACTTTTAATCTCGTCGCCCGATGCGTGTTTTCCCGTCACAGATTAACGTCGGTTTCCCTAGACTGGGATTCTCGGAAATCCACGTGGCCTGCAGGCTGGAGTCCAACACTGAAACTATTCAATTGTTTTTTCAGATAACTAGTATCATTATGTATAACAATCGCTGTGAAAATAAATCGGAGAGATTTCGATTTGACAGTTTTTACGTATTTTTGAAACAGGTTTCAAAGTGTGTTGGTTCTGTTATGCAAGATCATTTTCGACGTTCCAAAGTAAAAGTTCGGTGCTAAGACCACCTAAAGATAAATTTGAAATGGTCCTATCATTAATTAGAACAGGTTTCGCTTTATTTTTATATTTTACGTTGACATTTTATTGCTTTAAATCTTCCTAGTGCAAAAACGGTAAATTTCACCTTTTGACCTCCAGGGTCACTAAGACTAAAGGTGAATTTAGCAGGTTTACATTTTTATTGAAAGTGTGATTACTTTCGATCATTTTCAGCTTCTTTTCCTAATACAAGAATGAATATGCAAAATTTTACTCTAAAAAGTTGGGTCTGGTTTTGTGCCCATTTGATGGACACCCCCCCCCCCCCCCCGCGCGCTGAGCCTCCGGTCTAATATTTGAACGTTTGTTAAAATCGGATAAATACTGGGATCGGTAGAGTGTCTACAAATAAAGGGGGGGGGGGTGGATGGCTGAATGGTTAGCTTGCGCGCGCTGTATCATAAAGTCTGTCATTGAGTCGACTGGCGTGGTTTCGAATCCCCGGTTGTACGTGGCAAGGAGTAGGGTCGCCTGTCCAACCTCGTGGGTTTTCTCCGGGTCCTCCGGTTTCCTCCCACTGTTAAAGATCCCTACGCGCAAGCGAATTATGTAAATAAAATTAAACCATATGTTAGTCCCGAAATGACCTAGTTTGTGTCGAGTGGACGTTAAACCTGTCATTTTCCTTTGTTAGTTAAGCACATTTTGATTGAGTGCAAGCATCTCAAAGACACAAGATTACGGAATTACCGTTGCCAATCTCTTCATCAGTTGTTTGCCCAACCGGGTCTATATTGTAAAGCGCTAGATTTTTTAAAAGAGACAAATTTTTATCGAAAATTTTAATTGTATATATCTGATTTTCCCTTTCATGTTTTAAATATATATACATAAAGTTTATATTTATTTTTATTTGATATTTACTGTGATATTTGTTTTTATTTATGTATATAGATAATATGTGATTATATGTTTCTAGTTTGTCTCGAGGACTCTCACCATAGGTTTGGCGCAATATAGCCCGGTTGGAGCTGACGTGCCATTAAACAACATTTCATTCATTCATTATACTGTCTGAGACAAGATGTGAAAATAAACAAAGAGTAGAATCAGAATAATCTTTTATTATGTCTAATTAAATAAATGGTTTATAATTAGATAATAATTGACTAAAACTACGATCTCTTTATTCCAGTATACTGTTATAATATACGTTGTTTTAAAAGAGACCTTAAATATATCGAACGATACATACATGGCGATTTCTACTTAATGTTTGTAATAATTAATATGAGGTTTTAGATATGTAGAAATATTAAAAAACAAATCAAGTGAATTACTCGACATTCAAATTCAGGAAGAGTGGTTTTACATATAGGTTAAGTCAGATCCCTAATCCAGTTCCCCAATCCCATTCAGATTTTCTCAATAAATAAAAATCATAATGTGATAAAGTAACATAATAAATGTTATCTTAAATGTCGACGTAATTAATTATATGAAAAAAAACCCACAAGATTTTATAAATCTACACAAGTTTGTGTTAAGACATTGAAAGGAACACAAACTTGTGTTATTGCAATGTAAAACAACACAAACTTGTGTAAAATATTTTTGACACGAGTCCTTGTGTTGAGATCCAACACAAGAGTTTTTTCGGTGTATGTTTTCCCACGTTCATAATAATGTTTCATTTCAACAGACAGGCCAATGCGTAATACCGACCAGATACAGACTATTGGTACCTGCATTCGCTATCCAACAGAGGAGTGTGTGAATACGGCTCCGAACGTCAAAGTGAAAGTATGTTCTGCCAATTTATTGGTATTTTACTTGGAACGTACAGGAACCGGCCTGAGCGGATATTGTGTCGGTAAGTGTATATTTACCAGCGTATGTGTTTATGAGTAAGTTACACATTTTAATATTCATAAAAAAGAGTGGCACAGATTGATGATCAAGGCAATGACAAACTACAGTCGCCAATTCATGTTTACCGTATACGCCTGGGTTGTACTGTGGTTGTATATTGTCGTCTCCCATGTCCGTTAGACATTAACTTTTCTTGTTAGCACATTAGTCCACTTTCATGTGGACGTACGCATGTCACAATTTTTATCCGATTTCAATGAAACTTGAAATATAGGTCTATCTCACGAAGATATCGATTCCTTTCGAAATTGGCATATGTCGGGCCGTAATTTCATGGATTATGATCCCTGATTGTACGAAAAATCCCGTTTTTAGCTTGTGGACACTCTAGAGAACACAATTGTTATCCGATTTTGATAAAACGTAAAATGTATGTTTATAAACCAAAGATCTCGGATTATTTCGCTATTCGCGCATATCGGACCGTAACTTCCCCGAATTGTACGAAAAATCGCGTTTTTGAGTTTGTGGTCCCTCTAGAGGTTAATTACAACTATTATCCTATTTAAAAAAACATTTGGATATATCACCGTTACACCCTAATGATGGTCGAGTTCAAATGTCGTGAAAATCGGACAGAAACAATGGCCACTCCGTGAACGCACATAGTGGAAAAGTGTGGCATATGAAGGATGTGGACCCTCTAGTGGACACAATGTTGGTCGGACTTTACATTTATGTTTTTGTAAAAAGGTCTCGGTTCCTTTCGACAAATTAGGTTTTTAGCTTCTGGGCACTCTAGAAGTCTCAATTTGGATTCATTTTACATATATCACCGTTAAACCCCCATGGCGGTTGACTTCGAATTTCATAAAAATCCGACCGAAACTGCCGGACAAAATTGCCGCTCGTTGTACACAAATAGGTAATACTATCTCGATCGCTGAGACAGGCGAGATAAGTTTACCCCTCGTTTATCTCTGGTAAAACTCGCCGGCCATTTTGAAATCGGAAGCATTTCATTCTTAAAAAAATCCTGCCAATCAGTAGCCACTGGGGCGGAGCTAAGAAACCGTTTTCACTAAGGTTATGCTTGGGAAAGTAAGACTGAAGAAAATAACCCGAGAATAAGAAAACCCGAGGCCGACAAAGCACAACTTTGGAGCGTTCCTCAATGTTTTCCTCCAACCGTGCGATCATCGTAGAGGCTACATACAGGATCTGGGGGATTTCTGTGTAAATTTCTCTTTTACAGCGAAACATTGGAATTTCCTGTTCTATATGCTGAGACGCTTGGAAAAAATCTGTGTAACACTCCAAAACCAAGTTCATTTTTTCTGCACAGTCAAATTAATGATTAATGATGACTTCACCCCAATCGACCAAATTAGCAAAATTCAGTTTTCTTGGGATAATTCAAGAATTGGCAGCGTTTGATTTAACTGAAACATTTATTTATCATGTTTATTCCCAACTAACATATTTTAAACATGGTTCAACACCATAAACTACCATTTTCAACCGAAAAATTCACTATTTAGCAAATTCGCCCTAAAAAAACACTTTCAATTTGAAAATAGCTCAGAGTCTGACTACCTCTCGTACAGCCAATTATGGTTGTATTTTAGAGTATATATACAAATAATAAATCGTATGTTTATTTCAGGCTCACTAGAAGGCGGTGGTAAGTTTTCTTGTTTTATCAAAATACAGATAATAACTACATAGAAGATTCGGTACAATATTTGGCATGGTACACGTGATAGACGTGTGATATTGTCGCAAATAATGGTAAAAGTATATGAAATATACTGATGTCCAAAAGAAAGTATACACTGTGCATTGTGTCCTGCTTCAAACAAAGTCGTTTTTCCATTTTATGCGGTATTTGGGTACAATGTTCATTTGTTTTGCCTTTTATTTGCTTAGAAATATTGAGTTTGGACGCACGAGACATGTTCAGTGTAGTTTTATCACATTTTATTGTTTTAAACAAAACTTAGTCCTATTTTTAGTGTATATACTTTCTTTTGGACATTAGTATATGATAAACAATTCTAAATTAGTGTCCTTACTTGCTCAAATCCTTCAACAGTTTCTTGAGAACATTCTACAGATTAGTCTAGCCCATTTGATTATGTTCTTGTTTGATTATTGAACTTGTAGATCTTTGTTTTTAAGATATCCTGGATTTTAGAACCGTACCGAGTGTCACTTATGATCAAGTTACGGCGGCATATCTCACACAATTCCGGTTCTTCTGCAACTTCACCGAATCAACAGACGACGTATTATTTTATCAAGCATACTGGTATGTACCTATTAATACAATCATGTATAACAATACAGTACTTCTCAAACTGCATGCGCGAGTCAGGCATTTGTCTGAGGCCTCCGGCGGAATTACATTTTTGTATAGTGCTTTATAATGTATTATGATATTTGCAATATACGAAGAATATTTGGAACAATTTATGGTTGTTATTATTACATTTGTAGGCCTGTCGTCGCGAAAATGCTTAAGTAATGGCATATTCGTGTTTCGCCATTTCTTGGGGAACAAGGTTTGACGATGATTTCGGACAGAAGGGACCCTAATGAAGATATCTGTAGTTTGCTACCTCTAAAAAATACAAATACCGCCACTTGGGTCCCTTCTATCAGAAACCTTTAAAAAAGCTGATCCACAATTCCCGTGGGGTTTTTTATGCAGGTACGTGAACAGCCGTTTTATATACAGTTCACCTTTCGCTGCTTATAATGATCCGGCCAACGAACGAGTACTAACAGAAGCTAAGCTACGGGAACAGGGTGTGGTCACGGTTGGCTTTGATGTAAGATTGTATTATAATATATTTACAGCTACGAAATAAGTAAAATACAACATAATTAGAATGCCTTAACACGTGGCATTATAATTACAGTAATTCGCGCAAAATATATTCTTTAAATAAACAATTTTCTCTTAAATAAAATCATTATTTGGTAATACGAAATTTATAGACACCTCTTCAAAGGTAGAATCAATTTTATTTGATGTCCCCACCCCACCACAAAACTGACTAATTATTATGTGTTCTTTTAAGGTGACATGGCATTGTTAACTCTTATGGTGTTTCTTTAAAACACCGATTCCTTAAGATTTTTTTTCTTGCACCTTTGTATTACAATATATTATTTTCCCCCCAAGATTTATTGTGACATTAGAGCAGGTAGACGCGTCAACGGAGCAGCAGGATTTCCATCTACGAGTAAACCAATATTTATTGGTGTAGAGGTTAGTTTCTTTTGACGACCAAACAGCCATTTATTCGGTGTTCTCTATTCTTAGTTCTTAAGTCATATGCCTTGATTCATATTTTTTCCATTTGTTGTTTAATATATCAGACATTTTTCATATCAGATTTCTAAATTGTATCTTTGTTTAATTTAATTGCCCCCCCCCCCCAACGCCTTTCAAACAGGGGACTATTAAAATGTCCGTCCGTCCGTGGGTCCGTTGTCCGTTCACATTTTTTTGTTGACAATCTACCGGTCACAATTTTTATCCAATTTTGACGAAACTTGAAAGTTTATCTCTCACAGATCTCGGTTCCTGTCGATATGGGCATGTATCGGGCCTAACTTCATGAATTATGGCTCATAATTGTACGAAAAATCACGTGTTTAGCTTGTGGAAACTCTAGAGGTCGCAACTTTTATCTGACTTTTATGACTTGAAATGCATATTCATAACCCAAGGATCTTGGTTCCTTTTGATATTTGCGCATACCGGATAGTCACTTCCTGAATTATGGCCCTTGACTGTACGCAAAATGACGTGTTTAGCTTGTAGTCCCTTTATAGGTCACAATTATTATCCGATTTAAAAACTCGTTCGAATATATCACCGTACGCAAATAGTGTAAACATGTGGTAAATCAAGGTTATGGACCCTCTCGAGGTCACAATTTTGATTCGAATTTGATGGAACTTGAAATACATGTTTATAACCCAAAGATCGTGGTTCCTTTTGATATTTGCGCATATCGGACCGTAAGTTCTTGGATTATAGCCACTGTTTGTACGAAAAATCACATTTTTTTGCATGTGGATCCTCTAGAGGTCGCAATTTTTATCCAATTTTCAAAAATGTTTAAATTTATCAGCGTTACACCCTAATCATACGCAAATAGTGTACAAGTATGTCATTCCAAGGTTGTGGACCCCCTAGAAGTCACAATTGTTATCAGATTTTGATGAAACTTAAAATATATGTTTATGTCTCGAAGATCTCGGTTCATGTCGCTATTTGCGCATATCAGGCTGTAACTTCCTGGATTATGGCCACTGATTGTACGCAGAATTGTGTTTTTTTTATACGCCCACATTTTTATATGGACTTATATTGTCGTCGCCCCTGTCCGTCCGTCAATCCACAATTGTTTGTGAACAGTCTACAGGTCACAATTTTTATCCGATTTCAATGAAACTTGAAATATAGGTTTATCAGCCTAATATCTCGGTTCCTTTCGATATTGGCTTGTATCGGACTGTAACTTCATGGATTATGACCCCTGATTGTACGAAAAATCACGTTTTTAGCTTGTGAACACTGTAGAGGTCACAATTTTTATCCGATTTGGTTTAAACTTGAAACGTATGCTTATAACCCAAAGATCTCGGTTCCTTTCGATATTCGCGAATATCGAATTGTAATTTCCTGAATTATGGCCCTTGATTGTAGGAAAAATCACTTTCGTTTTAGCTTGTTATGTATCCATCTCTAAAATGTGGGCGTATTCTGCCTGGCAGCCGCTGGTTTAGCTTGTGGATTCTCTAGAGGTCACAATTGTTTATCTCATTTTAAAAACCGTTTATATATATCACCTTTCTACATAATGAAAGTTGAATTCGAACGTCGGGAAAATCGAAACTAAATGGCCGCTCTTTGTACGCAAATTGTGTAAAAGTATGTTATACAAATGTTGTGGACCCTTTAGAGCTCACAATTCTTATCGGATTTTGATGAAACTTACAATTTTATGTCCCAAAGATCTCGGTCCCTTTCCATATTTGCACACTTCAGACTATAACTTGTTTTTAGCTTGTTCTCTATCCATCTCTTGCAAAATGTGGGCGTTTCTTGCCTGGTTTGATATTCTAAACGACAATTAAATTAAACAAATATACAGTTTACAAATCTTGTAGGCCAAATGTCTGATATACAAATACAATAAAACCAAGTACGAACAATCCAAACCATAAGACAGAATTCGAAGTCCTAAAAACCGTTTTAGGCAAAATAGTGTATTCAAGCAAAATAGTGTAATCAGCAAATGGACTGCTCCTGGTGTACAAAATACACGACAAACAGTGGTAACAGGTGTCCGGAAGAGTAAGCTTACCCTGCCTGGCGCCACACCCGCCATAGCTGCATCCAAACTATTAGGCGAAATCTCGGTAAAATAGCGTGATTGGCCAATGGACTATCAATGACAGCCTACACCGGTTGTGTTCCCAAAACAAACGGTATAGGCAAAATAGTGTAATCAGGCAAAATAGTGTAATCAGCAAATGGACTGCTCACCGTGTACAAAATACACGACAAACAGTGTTAACAGGTGTCAGGAAGAGTAAGCTTACCCTGCCTGCCGCCACACCCGCCATAGCTGCATCCAAACTATTAGGCGAAAAGTCGGTAAAATAACAACTATTGATTTTAAGATAAAAATATTAATTTTAGAAATACGATAACAAATGGCGCTACAAGAATTAAAGACTATGAATTGAAAACTAAGAATAGAGTATACTGAATAAAGAACTGTTTGGTCTTCCATAAGTTCAATTCTGATATTTCTATACATTTGTAAACCAGTTGTGATATATGAATTTAGAAACACGCACGTTAGGCAACGTAACAATTGTTTTAAGAACCTTGTAAAAGTAAAATGAAACTACTGCTAGGCTAGTATCATGTTCTTGCCTAACGCAAGTGTTTTAGAGATATTTTTTGTACTAAACCAAAAGGTTATGGGAGTCCTGTTAGATTAGATAGAAACAGGCATGGGGGTGGGGTTGTTGTTTATATAAAAAAATAATCTACACTTTCAGATTAGGCATGATCTTATAAACCCTGATATTGAATTAATTTTTATAGACTTATTTACTGATTACACCAAATTCTTACTCGGGGTAATATATAGACCCCCAAATACAAGGGTTGCCTTTTGGGATATATTTTACGATACATTATCTAATGCATTATATAGTGGTTCCCTTTTTTTTTTATCCTAACAGGGATTTCAATAAATGTTTTTAAAAATGATGATATTAACAAAATTTATGAAAATTTGTTTAGATGTTTTAAATAAAGCATTAATACAGTATATCCCATTAAAAGTAGTAACTATAAGACCTAATGATAAGCCATTTATGAATTTTATGAATAACGCCATACGTATAAAAATTCGAAAACGAAATAGAGCACTCAAACGCGCCAAAAAATCAAATAGTCCTAATCATTGGATATTACTTAGAAAAATAAGAAATGAAGTAATAACTTTAAAAATAATGAAGCTAAAAATAATTTTAAAGACAAATTAGAACAACAAATAAATGGTGGAAAACAGATAAATCTATTACAAATTTTGATAATGAAAAAGTACCCACCTCCACATTATTATTTGAAAACTGCGTTTACACACACCCATTTGATAAGGCAAATATCCTAAATTCTTATTTTGCCTCGATATCAAAATTAAATGATGTACCTGACCTTCCATACTTTAATTATCGCAGTAACAACGAAAAATGTAATGAAATGAAATGGGGTTTAACGACTAGACAGCTGCCCTTGTCAGGCCCTCCGTCCGGCATCACTGACAAGGGGAAACCAATCTGGATGAACTTTCTCGGCCAATGCTGGGATTGAACACCCGACCTCCAGGCTAGCGAGCCAGCGCCTTACCCACTTAGCCACCGTGATCCCCCAGTAACAACGAACTACATTTTTTTTTATTGTAAGCGAGCAAGAAGTGAAAGACCAGTTACTAATTCTTAACTGTTCAAAGCCTTCTGGTCCGGATAATATTTGTCCAGCTGTATTGAAAAAGATAACTTCATCAATCACAAGCACTTTCACTAAACTTTTTAAGATTTTAGAACTCCAATTATTACCTGATATTTGGAAGACTTCACATATCATTGCGGCGTATAAAGGAAAGGATGATCCGCAGTTCCCTGACAACTATAGACCAATTTCATTAACATGCTCATTATGTAAAATACTAGGGAAAATCATATTCAAAAATCTTTATAATTTTATAAAAGAAAATAACGTGTTATATAAGTATCAGTCTGGTTTTCACCTAACGATTCTACAGTAAATCAACTTTTAGAAACTTAAGATGTTATAATAAGTAATCTTGATACAGGAAAGCACATTCAATTTATATTTTGTGATGTATCAAAAGCGTTTGATAAAGTTTGGCACATAGGTGTATTGTCTAAATTGAAACAATATGGAATTAATAAAATATTAGGTAAATGGATTGAACACTATTTAAGTAATAGAAAACAATGTGTAGTTTTAGAAGGTTTCAAATCAAACTGTTTGCATACCGATTTTACAATATGCCGATATTGAATGGTCAAACCACAATTCAAACATATACCAGAAAGCTTGTGGTCGACTAAATATTTTGCGTATACTGAAATATAAAATTGATAGAATTTCACTTAATAAGGTATATCTTGCTTTTATTCTCCCGATTTTAGAATATGCCGATATTGTATGGGATACCTGTTCAAAGAAGGATTCTGATCTATTAGAAAGTGTTCAAACTGAAGCAGGTAGAATAATAGCTGGCCTTAGTAGAAATTCATCTAAAACAATTTATACAAAGAGCTTGGTTGGGAATATTTGTCTAATCGCAGAATAAAACAAATTAATTTATTTATATAAAATAAAGAATAACCTAAGTCCCACTTATCTCTCTGAAGGCTTTAAACCATTTGAACCGTCAGTATCAAATTATAACCTTCGTAATGAAAATCTGAACCTCAATCTACCATTTTGTAAAACCAGTTTATATTCTAATAGTTTCTTTCCCTGCACAATTAAACTTTGGAACAACTTACCTGAAAATATTAAAACCCCACAAACGTTAAGTACATTTAAATTTGGTCTTTCACGCGTGTATCCTGTAATTAGCCCACTACTATATTATAATCCTGGAGATAGGAAAGAGAATATTATCCATTGCCAATTAAGAAATAAAGCTAGTAATTTAAATAATCACTTATTCTACCATTTTATTAGTGAAACAAAAGTGTGCCCTGGGTGTAATTCTGCAAACGAAGATAATAACCATTATTTTTTCATATGTCCAGCATACTCTGTCCCAAGAACAATTCTCAAAAATAATCTACACCACCTTAAACAAAATGTTACAATAGACTTGATCCTATATGGCAACCCTGCCCTTTCAGACAATACCAATTCTAATATATTTGAAATAGTGCAAAAATACATAAAAGACAGCAAGAGATTTTAACACTTTAACATTTAAAACTTAAAATTACACTCCAAGAAATGTATATATGTTTGTAACCCAGTCCCTATACATATGCCCACTATTGTATTATAAACATAAGATATAACTATTTTATATGTCTGGAGAGAACTTATAAAGGCCTTTGCCTGTTATTGAATAAAATATTGTTTAAACTAAACGATGCCGCTCCTAACGGTACAGTTAATGATAAAGCAATTTAAAAAATAAAACAAACGTAATTTCTAAAGCTGCTGTAATAACCAAAAATGATGAAATGGAGTTTAACGTCCTACTTTTCTGCTCCTAACCTGGGCTAATGAAGACGGGCATACGCCATACAGTGTGCTATGAGGGAAATTTTGCCCGGACAGCGGCACTACGGCCTACTTTTATATCGAATTCCAACTGCCAAGGGATCTTTTACGTGCACGCCAATGTGTACACGGGACCTCGGTTTTTCGTCCCATCCGAACGACTAGACAGCTTTCCTTGTCAGCCCCTCCGTCCTGCATCACTGACAAGGGAGAACCACGCGAGGAAATCTGGATGAACTTTCTCGGCCAATGCAGGGATCGAATACCCGACCTCCAGACTAGCGAGCTAGCGTCTTACCCACTTAGCCACGTGACCCCCCAAAAAGCTAAATATTACTCCTCTTCAGAATCGTCAACGGTAGATTTTTTACGGCTGTAATAGTTCATAGCTGTGTAGAGAATTGCACGTGCGATGGCTATTTATAGTCTCATAGACTCTAGCGCTGAGTATGATCATACTGGGTAGTTAGCGTGAAATCACTTCGAGACAAGCCCCTGAAGCGTGCACATTCGCCGTGTCGAGTCCAACTTTCTGTAGAAAAACTTTTCACTGCACGGGTCACCCTACTGTCAGAGATATCCAATCTCCGAAACTTGGAAAGCCGCACCAAAAAACAACTTGACGACCATGCGACAGACCATTTTCTATTTATGTTGGTTACGAGATGTAAACAAGTCTAGGACACGTGATTGTTTCCCAGGATTGTGGGATAAGGTTAGGGATAGGTCTAGGGTTAGCGTAGCCCTGTTTACATTTCGTGACCTTGACGAAATCTGGCGGTGGCCTTAATATTTAGAGCTGATCAGTTATTTATTACAAAACAAAAATCAATTTTTAAAGAGTCAAACAAGGGAGATAATTGGGTCGAGGTCAATAAATCTCTCACACATCGTTACTTTAATGAAATTGAATTATAACTTAAACGCGGGTGGGCGTTTACACCGACTCGTGCTCTTATTGAGTACTCGTATCTTTATGAAAATTAAGTAATGTTAACTTTTCATTCAACAAATATAGTCCCCTTCTCTTGTCTGTCCGATAAATACGGGACCTAAAATAGTTATATAATTTCATCTGAACCATTGATGTATACAATATATGCTTTACAGGTTTTGACACCTACGGTTACCGTTAAAGAGGGTCAATCTGGTCAGATCCAGATTAGAGCTACAGCAAGGATTGGATGCCCTGATCCACCATGCCAATATGGTGTCACGGCTAATATACCAGAAAACGCTGATGTCTGCTCCCCAACAGTTCGTTTAGATACGAATTGTGGGGTGAACATTGATCCTAACATATGGACACAGGTTTACAAGATCAACGTTACTGGTACACTCACTGAAGATGAATATGGGCAACAGACCAATGTTATGAAAATCACACTTCGTTCTCCAGATAGTTACCCTGGACACCCTATATGGGAAAATTATACTTTAGCTCCCGTTAAGGTAAGTCCTTGTATGTTTCAATTGAAGTGGAACTGGAATGTAGTCCAAGTCTAGTGCTAAATCAGTCAGTCAAATATAGGGAATGTAATTAAGGCGGACATGCACCATGAAGTATGCTATGAGTAGGTTTTGCCCTACGACGGACAAAGGGAAACCACGCTGGAAAATCTCGAATAACTTAATCGACCAATACCTAGGTCGGAGACGGATCTCAAACGGCCTACTTACTGAGCCACCACGACCCAGGCAGATTTAGGCAAGGAAACGTGTTTATTTGAAGGTTCGTGATATTTACAAATTTCTCGTCCTCTTGACAGTTTTTTTTCCTTAAACGTACATTTTGCTTCTCTTCAACCAAACACCAACGTGTTAAGTCTTGCGATTGATAAGTTATAACCATATTGTCCCCAACATCGAAACATTTTGAAAAGTATTTATTTCTTCTCTTTTTTTAAAAAAACAATCTCTGATTTTTTTGAGTCTGTTGAAATTGGCATCGTTGATAATTTATCGCGGCGTTACTACCCCTGATACCAGCCCGTTCTCTCAGTACGACAGGGTTCCCGCGGTCCTTGAAAATCCTTGAATATCCTTAAATTTAAAATTTCATTTTCAAGGTCTTGAATATCCTTGAATTTCGCGGAAATAGGAAAATATCCTTGAATTTCAGTTGAGATCCTTAATTTTGTTTCAAATGTTTCAATTCCTTTTAAATATGAGATTATAACGATAGTTGGTAATGTTTTGGTTATTTTTAAGATGAAAATTTGTAACTTTAGGCTAAAAAATGTCCTTGAAAATCCTTGAATTTGACGTATATTTATCCTTGAATATCCATGAAAAAATGTTTGACGAAGCCGCGGGAACCCTGTACGAGTTTTAGATGATTTTTTGTATAAACCGTACTGTACTTGGGGAGATGCTAGGAGTGCTTCAATGGATTTTCACAGGTTACTAGCCCTCGATCTGCTGACCAGAACATTAAATTATCGATCAGAGCGTGATTGGATCTTGTATCTATGATGTATTTAATATCATATACAAACGTCGTGTCAACAATGTACTGGTCGACATTCATCTCCCGTTGTCAAAATGTTTATTTGATACCAACTATGGATTAATTTTTGTTGGCATTTTTAGGTGTATGTAGTAAAAGATACTGGAGCTATAGAATCACGAAGTTGTAAAGTACATTCCGATCCATATGTTAAAACTTTTGCGGAAAGGTAATTTTTTATATAATGATTCGATACATTTATCTGTTCATCTCGTCTTTCGTTGTTGGGGGGGGGGGGGGGGGGCGAATGGTTAACGCGTGGTTGGGTGGCGTGGTACCAACCTCGTTGGCTTTTTCGTTCACATTATTACCTATAAAGCACAGCACAGTTTTCTTCATCGTATGACTTTTTAGGACTTACCTTGAGTGATGGATATATTGACAACAATATGACTTTGCTGTAGGTGGGCTTATTATGGAAGGACTAGACCGCGATATTTTATAAATAATTCAACACCTTGTCATGTACCAGCGGAGAGTCAAAACAACGCCACAGACTTTGTGATCAAACGCGCGGACATTAACCATTCGGTCATCGAACACCCATCGCGTAATAAGGATGAAACGTATCGAAATTAATAGTCAATTATTAGAAAGTTATCACCGTTGTTATAGAAACCCTGTTACGGTACTACAGTGCATGGTAAAACCAAGTTTCCAAAGATTGTCGGCGATCCTAGGCTAATGTGCACATTAGGATATCTCATGTATAGATGTTTGAAGCGATGGATAGTATATCAGTAGAAAACGCTGGCGATATCCTTCCATGCTCTCCTGATATCTTTTCATTCTTTTATCTTTTTACATTTCAGACAGATGAGTCTCCAGATTCTTGGAACATTTACCATGTATCAGAATAATGACTATAATATAGAGGTAAACTATATTTATTGTTAAATCTCATGACGGGTCCAAGCCATAGCGTTGTATAGAATATTTGTTGTTTTTTGTAAAATCTTGTAGTGGTCTGATCCCTATACTGTAGTTCATAACTTGGGTTATCTGTAAAGTTATGAGTTTAACCACACCCAGGTTTTGTTTTATCTTAATTTCTATTAATTTGATTCGACCCTATGGGGCAGTGTGAAATTGGGTCGTTTTTGGTTTTAAACCCGATTGTTATTTAAGCGGTGAATAACGAATAACGAGGTGGACCCTCGTCGTTATTCGCGAATAAAGAGGGATACGCGACCTCGTTATTCGTTATTCAACTTTTTGTTCGGGATTCAAATATGCAGCTAACCATGCCTAGAATGATAGATGTCAAGTATCCTCCAACAGTATAAAACACAGCAAAAACGACTTCTAGATGAAAAACAGTCCACATCGTTATTCAAGCAGCGAATATCGAGCTGTTTGTTATTCGTTTTTCACCTCGTTATTCGGCATGCACATATCAGGTGTTCATGTATCTTTAATTAGGATGTTTTAGAATTTAATTCAAAACGATCACCAGATAACAATAAAATAATAGATTTCAAAGTACCCCCTAGCAGTAGAAAACTTATCAAATGACGCATATTCGGTAAATAAACCAGATTGTTATTCAAGCTCGTTATTCACTGCTTGCATAACAATGTGGCTGTTTTTCGTCTGGAAAACGTTTTGCTGTGTTTTATACTGCTTGCATAACAATGTGGACTGTTTTTCGTCTGGAAGTCGTTTTGCTGTGTTTTATACTGCTCGTTATTCGCTGCTTGAATAACAATGTGGGATATTTTTCGTCGTTTTGCTGTTTTTTTTTATAATACTGGGGGATACTTTACATCCATCATTCGAGTCATGGTTATCCTTTATTCGTTATTCACTGCTTGAATAACAATCTGGTTTATTCACCGACTATACGGCATTTAATGAGTTTTCTACTGCTAGGGGATACTTTACAATCCATTATTCTATTGTGATCGTTTTGAATTAAATTCTGAAATATCCTCATTAAAGATACATGAACACCTTCATATGTGAATCCCTAATAACGAAGTGAAAAACGAAGAACAGCTCGTTATTCGCTGCTTTAATAACAATGTGGTCTGTTTTTCGTCTAGAGGTCGTTTTGCTGCGTTTTATACTAGTCATGGCTAGATGTGGTCCACCTCGTTTTTTGTTATTGGTGATTAACGAAAAACGATCGAACTTCACACTGCCGAATAACGAGCCAGCACGTTATTCTGGATTCGGCAACTCAGGTGATTGCGAGAGGACTACATCGTGCACGCCAACAAAACAAACATCCCTCTATGGTCAGAGGTAGCGTGCAAATTTCCGAAAATATTCGTCATAGGCGACTCCCATATTTTATTAAATAATTAACACTTCTTGCAAGTGCATGTGTTGCAGGACACTAGCTCGATAACATTGTTGAGTGGTACGAAAAACCGAGGTTAGCATGCACGTATAATAATCATTGACTATTGGGATTCAAAATAAGAGTTCGTGGCATCGCCGCTGTCCGGGCATATTTCCCTCATAGCCTTATGGAGTGTACCCGCATTCTTTACCCCAGAAAAGTGGGACGTTAATACCGTTTCATATCCGTTTCGGTATTATTTTACCTTTTCAGGTTCAAGTAAAAAGCTACACGTGTTCTAACCAGTGGCATGCCTACTGTGTTTGTGGTATAGTCGTTCGAGTTGGACAGACAGTTTTTATGATGAATCATTGCTCCATCGACTATTGGTTTATTGATTATATCCTGTGTAATGATGGTGGTGATATTCTCGATGTTAAAATATTACATGGTGATTACAAGGTAATAATATATATTAGTGATATATTTATGTAATGATGGTGGTGATATTCTCGACGTTAAAATATCACTGAAAAAAAACTTGTGTTGAAACAACACAAACGTGTGTTGAAAAACACAAAATTATGTTAAATGTTGAAACAACACAAAACTTGTGTTAAAATGTATCAAACAACACAAACTTGTGTTGAAACTTGTGTAAAAATCTACACAATACTAGTGTTGAAATTTCTGAAACTAGTGTAGAAATTTCTGAAACTTGTGTGGTTTCATACAAACTTGTGTGGTTTCATACAAACTTGTGTATAACCACCAACAAAAACTTGTGTTGTATTTTCCCCCCAATTTATATCCAGTATAGCAACCTTTCCCATGCAGCACCTCTCCTTTAGCTCTGTTGTAAATTAATACCGCCAAAGAAAAACTAAATAGACATTTGAAGTGTTAACAGAAAAACAGAGAAATAATTCTAATACTTATAAAATTGTGTTATATACTGAGCGCCATGGAAAACGCATCACTTTTTTTCCCAAACCCAAGCTCAAGACCGCTACATCCGGGTCACTCATCTGCTCGACAGATTCCGCCCAGCGACTCGAACAGGTGCAGCAGTCGTCGGAAGACAAGAACCAGTAAGTGCCAACACCGTTAGACGTCGTTTAAGAGAAGTAGGACTCCGTGCACGACGACCTTATGTTGGAGCTATCCTCAGGGATCATCACCGTCAGCGGCGTTTAATATGGGCTCAAGGACACCAGACAAGAAGAAGAGTAGACTAGAAAAGTATGCTCTTCAGTGATAAGAGTCCCTTTCATCTTTATCACGCTGATGGCCGTCAACGTGTGTGGAGACGTCTTGGGGAACGTCTTGCAGACTGCTGCGTCTTCGAAACGAATCGATGGGGTGGGGGAAGTGTAATGGTGTGGGGAGGCTTCACATTTTATCACCGGACCGCCCTACACATTTGCAGGGGTCGCGTTAATGCTGTAGCCTACCGTGATGATGTCTTGCAACCAATTGTTGTTCCGATGTTTCGAGCGCACCCACAACTTCAGCACTTCCAACAGGATAATGCACGTCCGCATACCGCCCGTTTTAGTATGGACTACCTGGCTGCTAACAACATCAATGTCTTGGACTGGCCAGACATGTCTCCGGACATGGCACCGATAGAATATGTCTGGGATGAGATTGGACGCCGTCTGTATCGGATACCACAGATGCACACCATTGCTGCTTTAGAAGCTGCTCTTGTCCAAGAATGGAACAATTTGCCCCAGGCCTTCTTTCAAACATTGGTAAATTCCATGTGACGTCGCTGCACAGCGTGCGTAAGAGCCCGCGGAGGACACACGCGCTACTGACATCTGTGTCGTACTTTTGGTTTTGACCCCTCTAACTTTGTACCCTTGATTACAGATTAAACATCCATAAGTGTACAAATGTGTTGTTATTGATGTGTTCCCATTTGAATATTGTTCACAATAAGAAGCAAAATAAATAATATGTTTACATGATCATTTTGTTATACGAAAAACTAAGTGATGCGTTTTCCATGGCGCTCAGTATATAATGAAAAGCCTCCCCCCACCGCTCCCATCACAAAATATTAAACAACTATTTAAATTTTTCTTTACCCTAAAACAAGAACTGAGAATATAAAGGTATGTACACATTACCCCTACCCCAAATATATATATAATTCAAATATATCTAAATTTAATAACACCCAAACCAAGCACTAAAAGATAAAAATAAATTATGCACTAAATTGAATTATTTTCAAAAACTGAAAAGTGCTACAAAGTCATATTACAAGTGATTTGTAAGGCTTCTTGAAATAACTAGCATACATAGAAAACTAACAAAAGAAATATGCACTATTTTGCAGGAGTAATAAAATGATGTAGAATCCATTCCTCATTAAAAAAAACAAACAAAATAAATATTCTGTACATAATTGGAGCAAAGCATCAAGATAGCAGGATTGAAAAGTCAGAGAAAATGGCAAATATTAAATAATATGTACAAAATATGTATATACAATTACAAGTCACAAGCAGGGGGGGGGGGGTGCATAGTGGTTCAGTGAGTATAAGGCGTTGGTCGAGAAATTTCAAATGGATTTTCTGACATAGTTCGCTCATGTCAGTAGTGTAGGACATGGCAAAGAACAATATATAGTCGTTCGGATAGGACAATAAACCTAGGTCTCATATACACATTGCGTGCATTTTAAAGAAAGAGATAGAAATGAGGTTTAGCGTCCACTCAACACAAACTGGGTCAATTGGGAACAAGCCTGGAATCGAAACCACCCCACTGCGTTCAATTTAAAGAACCCTTGAAAATTGAATTATTTGACTCAATGACAGACCTTCTGACCCAGTGTGCACGTGTCAACCATTCGGTCACCCTGGGTTCCCTTTAAAGACCCCTTGCCAGTTGAAATATTTGATATAAGAATAGGTTATAGGGCAGAATTACCCTAATAACACTGATAACTAGGATATTAAACCCTATTTCATTTCATAAGCAAGGTAAAGGAATTTTTGGAATTATATATTTGATCTACATTTGGTTTCTAGATAATTCTAGATAATACTTAATGATTTCCGACCAAATTCTAAGGGATTTATATGTCACTTTTTACCTTCTATATTATACACACAGTTCTGGAGAGAATTACCAGCGGCTGCCATGCAGGATACGCCCACATTCTGCAAGAGATGGATAGAGAACAAGCTAAAAACAAAAACGATTTTTCGTACAATCAGTGGTCATAATCCAGAAAGTTATGGTCTGAAATCCGCAAATATCAAAAGGGACTGAAAGTTTTAGAGTATTAAGATTTGTTTTAATTTTCAAGTTTCATCAAAATCAAATAAAAATTGTGACCTCTAGAGGGTCCATAACCTTTGTATTAAATACTTATACACAATCTGCGTACAAAGAGCGGCCATTTTGTCGGAAAGTTTCATTTCGATTTAACCGAAATTTGAATTCAATCTTCATTATGGTGGAATAGTGATATAAAATTTGCGACCTCAAAAGAATCCACAAGCTAAAGATTGCGATTTTTCGAACAATCAGAGGCCATTATCCAGGAAGTTACGTTCGGATATGTGTGATT